CATATTCCAGTATTTGTTTTACAAATATTTATTTTTTTCCCTGTAGATCTGAAATCTCATGTTCTACAAATACAAGGGAGAAAGGCTCTTGCCAAATTGTAGAATTCCATTTCTGTGTAATTTTGCTAACAAATACAGTTGGGCCCCGCTGTTACCACGATGCGGTCATTTCGCTACTTGCCCATATGATATAATGGCAACAATTACTTTTTTGATAAATACTTAACTGTATCTGAATTGCCAAGCTGCTTGCCCTAGCATAAACCACTTCAAACAGTTGTCGTGACTTTGAAGTTACCTGACGTCAAAGAAAATAGATATGTATGTGTAGCGTGTCACATATCCTTGTGGGATGATTGTCCTTGTGTATTCCTGGTTTTCCTCTACACCATCTAAATCGGACCTTTTGTTCCAGGATTAGAAGCTTGCTCCGGCAAGCACATGCACGCGTGTACACCTGTTGTACTGTCTTTTTGTGTGGCTTTGTGACTCAGCCTCCTGGCTCCTACCTCCTTTTTGTGCCTTTTTTTTTTTTGTTCCCTGTCAAAAAGGAGTTTGTTCTTTTGCTTCATGATGAGTTTGAAAACATCTTTATCCATTCAAAACGGCTGTGTGTCTGTAGAAAGTGGTTTGCTCGCAACAAGTAATTAAGTTCCTCTGTGTTCTTAGGGAGGAAAAAAAAATACATTGAAGATGTAGATCTTCATTTTTGTAGTAGGTAGAGAAGAGAGATATTCACGCTGCTGTGAGTGGAGTGGCAGCCCTTCCCTCCAAAGTTGTTTTTAAAGATTTTTGGGCTGGTCTTGAGAATGAGTAGCCAGTTCTTCTGTCTTTCTGGGGTTTGTTCAGTGTTGGTTTCAACAGGGGTATTTTTAGAGAGGCGATTCATACTACTATATTGATGCGTTATGGGTTTGACGCTAATGTAAAAGGGACAGAAATCTTCTCAAAGGTGGGAAGAAGTGGGTGAGGTTGAGATTCCGCAAAGTCACGTGCAAGTTCTTCTCTTGGTTGGTCAGGCATATATTGTCTCAAAATGCCAAATGCCAGGATTTAAGAAAAGTTTTGAAATCTTGATGGCTTGCAGCTTCACAGCTCTCCTGTCAGTGGTTCCCAGATAGTAGTAGCAGGGTTAGAGAGTGAGGCAGAGCGTGGAAAACGGACCGTGCTGCAGGGCCAGCGGCTGGACCTAAGGACCGAGACACCCGGGATCTTGGCCCCGGGTAACTGCTGTTAGGGAGAAAGTCGAGCTATTGTCAGTGTGCTCTGGCTTCCATCCTTGGCAGGGTTTGATTTTTCTTATTCTGGGAAGAGTTTCTTTATTACTCTGAAGCTGTGATTGGAAAAGTATGTGAGGCAGGGTTGATGAAACCCATTTACAAAGCTTTGAAGGTAGTGATTAGGGCTTAGAGAAGAGAATTGATTCGTGACGCATTAAGACGAAGTTTCTCATTTTTAGGAGATGGCAGAGGTCTCGTTGGTTTTGGAAAGTTCGTTGTAGCCACATGTTTAACTGCAGAATTATAAAATATTAACCATGTTCCACCTTCTGCTTAATAAGAGAAGGCTGTCAATTGTATATGTTTCAAGCACTAATGAAGGATGATGTATAACATAAGAAAGTAACATGCTGTGAAACTTCTCACTCCTAGAACACAGTTGTACGGTCCTATTTTTTATAGACCTCCTTAAATAGCTTTCCTTATTTGAGTATGCATCTTGTAAGTACAGCAGGGGGAGAGAGGTTGCTTTATACAAATGGGATTACTATGCTGAATTTAAAAGATTTGGATAATGCATTTTCTTTAAAAGGAGAAAAATTACATTGGATGGGGTTTTTATATAAAATGGGGCATGCGCTCCTTTATGCTTTTAGTGAAAGCGTACTTAGAAACAATTGCAAAATTCCTAGCAAGAAAGCATAACAGAAGAGTTCCCCAAGTGCTATAAGCTGCCACAAAAACGGTAAGTTTAGAATTTAAGTTTTTCTAAAGGAAACATCCTTAACTGTAGCTTTTTCAGCAAATTTGGCTTCAACAGAAAAATTTAGACTATTCTCAGACATAAATGTCTAGCAAGGTAGGTTGTTCTGGGGCTGGGTTTTTTGCTTCAATCCCTATCCTTCAGCCTTGTAACGCCAGTCAGTTTTCAGATACCGGATTCAGCAGGCATTCCTGGTTAATGCCTTTTGTCTAGCGTGAAAGACTAATGAAATATTGGCATGTTGTGGGCCACCAAATCTGTGAAACAAGAGCCGCCTGTGCAAGAGCACTGGAAATAGTAGAAGAGAGTGGAGAGAATAACATTTCACTTCAGATGTCTGATTTGCATTCTCAGTAAGTAAGATTAATAGAATTTTTTTGAAAATTATTGGAATTAGAGTATTGTAGATTTTTATATGAACTGTGTCCCGAGACATTAGATTGGCAAAATATTTTTAGTAAAAAAATCATACATTTGAAGTAGAAATATTTGGGGGTTTGTTTCCCCCCCGCCCCCTTTTATTTGATATCACTCTCTCTACCTTCTTTTGTGGCTACTCCAGTGCTTATCAGGTATCAGTTTAGGAGTTTGCATCCTAAAAATATATTTATATATTTCTCTGGAAAAGACACTTCCAGAGGAACAGAAGTTGGGGAGGACTGTCTCTTGCAGCTTGCAGGTCAATAACTCAGAAGAACAAACAAGAATGAACTGCAGAACCCAGTGTCTTAACTTAAATGACCAATTTAGGGTAGGTTTGGCATGGAAATCTGGGTGATGAAGTGGAATGGCTGCAAGATGGGGATATTCCTTCGGGCTGACTGGGCAGATCGCTCCAGCAGCGAGGGGCACGGTAGCAGGCAGGAACGGGAGGCAGTTGCCGCAGCGGTTTGGTCAATGGGAGTCAGAATCCACCAGCTCAATGGAAGTGGAAACCCAACGTTTAGCAGATCGCCAGAACGTTGCAGCATCTTCCACGGGGAGAAATGGATGTTGTCCATCTCTTGCAGACCTGCTCAGTCAAGATCCTTGAAAATTATCTGTTTGAAATTGTTTCTTGGGTCCATGTGTGCAGAAGGAATCCACAGTATTTGTTTGGTGTTCTGGATTATAGCCACGAGCCTTAAAAAATATAATTACAAATTAAGCTTTAAAAAAAATCTTTTAAACATAAAATAATAGTTATTAAAACATTTTTAAGTAGTAAATATAACATGTAAACATAAAATGTAGATAAATTACAATTAGCAGTATCAGATGCCATGGTTGTGAATGAAGTTTGCCTCTCACTTTTTAGGTTTGGTAGTTAATAGGTAAGTTTTGCAGTTTTTCTCTCATTGAGGCTGGAGTGGGGTGTGAGGAACTTGACAAAAAATTTAAGTAGGCTGAGTGCTGGTTGTGCATAAAGGAGATACTCATTAATAAAAGAAAGTCATAAACATCAGAAGCAGCGGAGCAGCTGTTTAATAGCGGTACTTTCCTGAGCAAAGACTGGACAACAGTGGAAGCAGATAAAAGCAATTAAACATAGGTGCATAACATGATCAAAACTGTATTAATTGTTCTTGCATGTAGCAGTTCCAGTTCCATCATCCTGAATATTTTATTTAGTTTTAAGGGTTCATAGGGGTCAGGGAAGGGATAGAGCTGAACAAGATGTGTCATGAGAAGAGAGGTTGAGGAGATTAGTGATGTTGAAATCGGAGATAGAATCAATGTGAATATGCAGAGGTGTGACAGAGATAAAATAAGAGACCCTTAGTTGGCATTACAGAAGCAAGAAGAATATTCACTAGAAGACAGGCAATTAGTTAAAATATAATCTCAAAGGCATTGGTAGTTTTAAAAGCTTAAAGTTTATTGAACAGCTAAGAGATTCAATACTGAGAATATGAAAACAACCCTCTTTCTAAAAAAAATCATTATCCCGTGTCCGCTGATGGTCACATATGGATGCTTAGGGGAAGAACGGAAGGTTAGATCACACAGATGGTGCCTTTCCAAATGTAAAGCAGTCTGACATGCACAGTTTAAGGACTTAATGAGCCAGGCACTGTATCCATGTGTTTGTGTTTAATAGCGTTGTTTGGGTTTTTTTCTATCTGTGTTTTTTTGTCATCCCACTTAACGCTTCTGGCTTCCATGTTGTGGCAATGAGTCTCCCAGTTGTAATTCTGGTTTATGTGATGTAGTCTAGCCTTTCCCTTTATTATAAACCTGCTGCCTGCTTTCATAATTTCATGGATTTCATTAACAGGAATACCCAGTTACATTAAGAAAAACTTCTTTTTAAAGAGAGAGCCAATCTTGATGCAAGGCTACCTCTCCACGCGAGGCTTTCTGTAATTCACTGTGGGGAGGGGAGTCTCGTTACCTGTGGGAGTTACAGGATTTACTGACTGTCTTCTGGTGGAACAGCCTCTGTGGACAGCGAGTATGTTTTGCCCTGGCCACGACTGCTGCGTCCTTACAGTGAATAAAGCTGATTTCTGGCTATTTCAAAATAAGCTGCTCGTTACTCAGAACGAAACGCTTCGCCCATTGACCGCACAACATTACACAGGCTTTCTGTAAATGCTAATGGGTGGCTTTCACGGTGCGTATCCTGGGACCAAGACCTGTCTAGAGCTCAGTGGTAGAACTTTTTTTAACCGATAAAACCAGCCCTCTGTCCCCAAACTCACTCCTATGTAAGGAGGGGCGAATGCCACCTTCTCTCACTTTGCAGGTGAAAGTTCAGTGTGTAATTGCTGGCCCTCACTCTTAGTTAAGATGCTTACGTACCGTAACGGCCACAGAACAGGTTGGTTTCCGAGGCCCAGAATATTAACAGATCTTTCACTAATTCCTTGGTGTAACGAGAGCAAGATCAGAGACATTCTGTCAAAATCGTAGGGAATTCTTTTTAATTAAAAATAGGAAATGGTTCCTGCTCGTTGGGTATGTGATCATGTAAAGCAAGGTTTTGCAGTGAGTATGAAATACTAATCTTTACTCCTTTGTTTGTCTTTTTGTAGGAGAAGCTCTGCCTACCACATCACATCCTAGAAGAAAAGGGCTTGGTAAAAGTGAGCATAACAGTTCAAGCATTGCTAGATGTAACCACAGTGAAACAAGCTTTATTCACATGAAACTACTATCTATCTCTGCTGTTACCAGCTCCACTGTGCCATCAAAGAATCAAAATCCTGCCCGTCTTTTCAAACTGCATTGAAAAAAAAACCCCAAAAAACCAAACCAGTGCTCCAAGAGTATTCTTATACTTGTGATTTTAAAATCATCTTTCAGACTGTACATGTGCGTCAAACTACAAAGCAGAAACTAAACCGAAACATTTGCTAGAGCAAACGGGCGCTCCACTGCTTTTATAGCTCACTTTGTAAAGTACTTACTAAAACAGCCACCTCTCTGCCACTTAAAAATGCGTGGAGTTCACAGCTGTCTTGCAGCAAGATACCTTCGTATTATTAAACTAAGAATCACTGTAATCATCTGGGGGGGAGCAGGGAGAGTAAATCAGACTTCTACCACGTTAGGTTTTTCTGCAGTTGCTTCAGGCTATTGCCTTTTAAAAATACTCGGACGTAAAATATTTATATATTATTTATTAGTGAGTTGTTATTCATCCTTTGGATGCAAAATGTAAATTAGGAAACTGTATTTTATTACTGCTTTTTTGTGGTTAAACACTTTATTTTAATATAAATATTTAGTTATTTTTTATTCCACTTGGTGTGCAGTAGCTCTAGATCTCCGTAAATTGTATTTTCTAATATGTAAGATACAAAGCAAACAAAATAGGTGCTTTTATTAAAAGAACAGCTAGCTGGAATGGCATTCTTTATTTCTTGAATTTGTGGAACATTGGTAAAAATTTGTCTGCATTCCATTGAGTTCCCTACATTCCAGTAGCACTTTTCCTCCCACTAGACTAAATTGGCTGAAGCTGAGAGCACACCCATTTTATTTGTATATAGATGTTAAAAAAAAAAAAAGATGTAAACTTGAAAAATAAATGTGAACAAATATTTTTGATTGCTTATTTTACTATGCACAAGACATTTAACTTTTGCCACAACAAAATGAATGATGTGTATTAGGATCATGTGTCTTGAAATATAATTTTGCACTGTAACTTGATTTCTTTTAAAGAGTACAGCACTACAGAACAAATAATCAAAAATAGCACAAGAATATTACTAAGAAGATTTACCAAGTAAGTAGCCAAAAAATTTTTATTGTTTTCTTTTCAATGATTCCTTTGAGAGGAGATAGATAGATAAAATTCTTAAAATTGCCAAAGGCAGTCTCAAAGACCTGATCTTCCAGATAGAACCTGCTGGGTACAGTGCTTCTCCTTCTAATCTCCGTCATCTCCCACAGAATTAAGCACAATGTTCTGTAGTGAATGTTTGCAGGATCAGACCTCTAATCCCACATCAGCAATAGGAAATAAGGTTCTTTTTCTTATCACAACTTTAAATTTCTTGAAGAGATTTTTAAAAGCATGATTTATTGTTAAAACATCCCACGTTTTAGATCAAAAAGTTCCAGCACAGCCACTCTCGCAGTATCTGGACCATCCAGTTTTCTTTCATAGGAGAAGCCAGTGATGGAACTTTGGCAAGCAGTTCAGGAAAGCTGCATGTGGCGAAAAGGGCGAGCTGCGAGGGGTCAGCGGTGCGTGCAAATTCGAGGTGCGTAATGACAGAAAAGAGGCAAGGTGGTGGGAGGACTGAATATTTAAGCAAGAGAAGGTGGAGAGAACTATTGTATAAAGACTTTTTGGAAGAACGATGCATGCTTGTCACTGCTATGTATCCAGGCAAAGTTACACACGTGTTCACAGACACTGCATTTAAAACCACCAGTATTCCACTAGCAGATTTTAGAGTATTTGAATGCAGACTATGCCTTTTAATACCACAAATTGCCAATGTGCTGCTATGTATTGACAGCAACGTGTCAGGAAAGTGGACTCACAGACAGTGAAACATGTAAGTATGCACAAAATATCCAGTTACTTCAACCAAAGCAAAAGCGTTTCTTTTACAGAGGGAACATTGACTTAAATTGTAATTTTGATTGGCAGCTAGCATATTGTTACCTATAAAATGTACTGTGCACTTTAACACTAAATTAAAATGTATTTTAATATTTTACAGAGCTGCACAAATACCTGTTTTGTCAAAAAGCACGAGCAATGTAAAGAAAATAAGTTTTCAAGTCAGAGTTTATCAAATTTTAAAAGCATTCAAAGATCAAGTATAAAAATAGGAATATTGATTTCTGCATCGTGAGGGATAAAATGCAGGTTTCCTGAGTATTTTTTTACAATGTATATATGGCAACATGAAGCTTTGTAATTATTATTTCGACAAATCTTGTTTTTTTCATAATTAAAATTTTGGTTTTTTCTCCCAGTAGTGTCTTTCAGTATTTGCTTGAAGTTGGCTGTAAATAAATAGCTCTAAATATTTTGTAATACAGCTTTTTTATGCAGTCTTAACCTGTACGGCTAAAGAGAATCTTCATGAATCTTTGTACACTATTTATATGTGCAATAAAACATGCATGGCAAATCTCTAATACCCTAAGCAGTGAACATAATGTACATAGAAAATCTTTACTGTAGTTACAATTAAACTATATTATTTGTAGAAACCCTGCAATGACTGCCCCTGTGACTGACAGTTGCTTGTAAAAGAGGTGGTGGTTGGAGAGCTTAATTAACACTGGGAATGATGGATCAGGGTTTGGGGGTGGAGATGATGATGATGATGTGACACAAATAAAGGAATTGTGCAGCTAAACTAGGAATAGGATCCAGCTGGTAACTGTCAGGTTGTCATGTTGGTGTTGGTTCCCTGCTTTGCCCTTCTGTCTCTGCAGAAACAGGGTAGTAGGGACTCCTGGTTGTAGGTCACAGTGTGAGTATACAACCTTCTATCACCCATGTGGGTTTCTGAAGTCATCCAAGTACAGATTCTGCTATTTTTCTCATTTCTCTAATGAGCGTAAAGACATTTAAGCAGGTGATTTTTTTTTTGGCTGTATTTGTTCACTTTTGGTAGTGGATTGTGGAAGGAGAGGATCTTTCTGCAATAATCCCCTGGGAAGATCCTGCTTTTGATTGCCCAGGAAGCTTGAGTGCCTTTGTGACTGTTGCAATACAAAGCCAGAACAGTGTTAGAATCGGCATAATTTAGGCAGGAGGAGCCCTGCAGCAGTTGTCCTTGCCCACAGCAGAGCCTGTTCAGCAGCTGAGGGCTGTGTCCAGCTGACATTTGAGCATTGCCAGCTAGAGATCTGACAGCCTCATGCAATTCTCATCAAGACTGTGCAGAGACACTTGGTGGCAGGAGCTGTCTGCACAACTCATCCCCACGCCCCGAGTCTTCTCACAGGTTTGCACTCTCCTGGACTTGCAACCCAGGGATAAGGGTAGTTCAAGGGCCCCTTCCTTGTCAACCCTCTAGCACCAGTTTTACAGGAGCTCAGGGCAGTTTCTATAAAGCCTTGAGGTTACTGACTTCCAAAGCAAGGTCATGGACTCACAAGACCCTGTCAGATGCTTACCTGAATCCACTCCCACTCACAAGCGAGGCAGCTAGAAGTCCCTCTCAAGGAGGAAGGTAGCAGTGCATGCAAATGCTGTTTTATCAAGAAAACAAACAGTGTGGGAAGGCAGTCAATTATTAGGAGAGCCAAGTGGAAAATATGACAGCTATTTGCAGCTCCAAAATTGTAGCTGGGCAGTTGTTTGGGGAAGCTGATATGGTAATTAATCTCCTGCTGGACTGTAAATTACAGATACAGGAAATAAAGCTCCCCACAACCATCACAGTATAGGCTATATAAATTTATCAAGTATGAAAGAGGGCTCCCCCACCCCCCACATGGGGCAAGCTGTTTCCTACCATTAACCCAGCAGCTTTAAAAGGGTGGTTTAAAAACACTTACAGTAAATGACAGGGTTAAACCTGCTTTTTAAACATATCCTCTAATGTAACATGCAGGTGCATACACTCCTGTTAGGGACTAAAAAAAAATGGCATGCCTATTTCCCTTAAATACAATCATCAGAATGCATTAGGCAAAAAATACCAGCTTTGACAGGTAACAGACAGAACTGTTTCTCATTGGAAGTACCTGCACCAAGCTGAACACCCTGACTCCACTGCCGCTCTGTTCATAGGACTTGGCACAAGGCTGCAGGACAAGCACAGTGCGCTTCTGCTCCAGTCCAGTGTGAGATACAGCCCCATAATTCATTTGCTGGCTATGGCAGAGCAGTTGCCTGGTTGTCTTGGCGCAGGGGACGAACATCTAGAAGAAGCTGCCACACATGAAGCAAGCCTTTCACAACCAATTCTGCTGTTGTGGGAGTGGAAAAATCTAAATGTTTAGCACTTGCAGCTTATTATTTTTATGTTGGTGCCCTGCTTTATAAGAAGGGAGTTAGTTAGATTCTGTTGTAAATCCACAGAGCATGCAAAACTTGAGTTCAGCATTTCAGAGAATTCTTGCAGTGCACACAGTTGTAGCTTCCAGCCTTCCAAGCTTACTCCAGAAATAGGCAGACACAAGACTGATAAAAGTCAATACATAATTTAAGCCTGTCACCAGCAACAGAAACCCAAGTTCCCAGCATCAGCCTCCCTGCAACCTAGAATCTAGCAGGGGCCAGAGAAACAGGAGAGCATTCACCATTGCTTGCAAAAGCAAACTGATCCTACGTCTAACCTAGTATTTCCTCTGGCAAGAATGAGTCAAGGTTTGAGCAACAACGCAGGTTCAGCTGAACCATGGGAAAGCAGAGGCTACAAGTGATTGCTTGAACATAAGAAGATAAACAGCTCACTGGAACAATCTGTGTTCTTGCCCCACACAAAGGTAGCTGGCAGAATTATACCACTGGGAACTCGTAGATCTGCAACTGTCAGGCCTAAATTCTGCCATCTTCTTTAAAATAAGCACACTCATTTTCAACAGTGAGATATAAGATCATCTATAGATAGATAGGGGTTGCTTTTTTCAGATCTATTTATCAGTTTCCTCTCAGTCCTGTTAAGTCAAAGAAACCCAGAAACACAGCATAAGCCTCTCACATTCAGCAACAAAGGCAAGCAGAGAAAAAAAACAAACCTTCCTTTACTACAGACTGCTTCCTTCACATGGGTTTTAAGATCTTTAAGTATCATCCATTAAATACTCCTCAGATCATTACTTTTTTGATGTTAATAACACACAGTAAACCACTCTGCACAGCAAACTTCTGTCTGTATTCTCCAACAGACTTTGTCCTTGGAATGTATTTAGACAGGCCAAGGAAAAAACACACCAACTACTTCAGATATTAAGTAGCTTGATTGGTTGTGCCACTAACAACTTCCTTCAGCATTAAGTGACAAAGTGGACCCTGGTATTTAATTAGCTGAAGAGGCATGCTGTTGTTACTCATAGTGTCTGCGTAGTTGCACTAGAAACCATCTTGAGGTGCCAAGTACATACCCATATTCATAATCTGAAACTCACTCATCTGCTCATTTGCATTTTGACCTAGAATGCAGCAGGCACCTTCACAGTGTCGAGAGACTTTTTGAAGCATACAAGAACATCCAAAATACTTACTCTAAAGCACACATATCAAATTAAGTGGGACTTTTATTTTTCTTAGCAGTACAGTGAGAAGAGCTCCATTTTACAGACACTATGTCAGCAAATAATTTTTTGTTTAGTTCACCTCTATCCCTTGATTCATATTGGACAGATGACGCTTGCATCCAAATGGTTCAAGCATTGAGGTATTTTGCATGGTGTTTGATGTGGTCATTAATAAATGTAGCAATAAAAAAATAGCTGTGATCATAACCCTAGAAAAGAACAACAACAACAAGGAAATCAGCAAAAGCCTATAGTTCATGATAAAGCAATCATGCTAAGCTCTCTTCTAGGAAAGGTAATGATTCTTCTGGTTTGATCTGCTTTAAGAAATCAAAAATATCTGTATTTTATATAAAAATTGTAAAGGATACCTAACTAACAGGGTAAGTATATATGAACACTAGGAAGCTAAACGAAAAGAAAGTACTTTAATCTGCCCTAATCTGGGCATGTAAATTACAGACAGGTAACAGCAACTGTCAGCTGCAGAACAAGATGCAATCCGAGAGAACAGTTCCCCTCACTGCATTATCTGACAGGTAAAACATAAGGTATAAGGAGAAGACAGCCCAGGTCTGAATTACTGCTCCAGCACTACACTAAAATGACATGTAAACCTCTTAAATACTCCACTTTGTCAGCACTAACTGTATCTTTTGGTGCAGGGCTTATGATAAATCAGGGAGGACAATCCCTCATTCGCCACAGCTGGGCCCCTCACTGGGTCTGGCTTGAAGTTGTCAGTCACTTGAAAAGACTCAATGCTCTCAGGACAGGACTGTTCTGGGTCACTGCACTAGAGGAAAGAGCAATCCATCCACCTGGGTCTTTAAATGAATCTAAGGTTTTAAGTAGTTCCAAACCTTTCCTGATTTACACAAACACACGCAAACTAAATCACAGTTTTATGCTAAACACAATACCCACAGTACAGATAAGGAATCCAGCAAAAGGACATCTGTCACTTTGCTTGTACAGTGACTGTGATACTTGTTAAAAATCATTAATGCTGCTTCTTCAGCCAACCACTGGCAGCTTGAGTTACCATCAACTCATCAGCTTGTTGAAACTAAAATCATGACCCCCACCTAGTGGTGAAATGCAGCTGAATCTGATAGATACTGCACACCTCAATAGCTGATACTAAGGAAAATATCACTTCTCACCCTCTTCCTCACTTGGCCAGGGACAGACTCACAGGTAAAGTGAAAGCATACCCCATGAAGAGACAATCTCTTTACTACCTGCCACGCAGACCCAAAAAAAAAAAAAAATCACAAAGCAACAACCCAACAATCACGGACTGCAGAAGCAACTTGCCTGCTGCAGCCTAAAGACAACTGGGATTTTCTGCTCTGTGCAGGCAGCGATGAAGTTATCAGGCAGTAACTGGCCTGCGGATAGAAACTGGTCGTCTTTGCCTTGATCAATCAGTATGTCCAGGTGAGAGTTTGGATAGGACTTCACAAGTTGTGTAGCATCGTATGCCTGCAGGAATAAAAGAGAAATGACATTCAGTTACATAGGTTAGACTGGGTCAAATTTGCTGGCTGCAAGAAAAGAATGGCATATATAGAGTGATACTGATCAGGACACCAAATTGCACATTAGAAAAGCAAAAAACTGGGGAAATTCCAGACAACTGAAAAGTAATACCCATGTTTTAAAAAGGGAAAGTGGGATGATCCAAGTAATTACCAAGCTGGCAGTTTGACATCATTTCCAGAACAAACACAATGTCCAGCCGAGGACTAAATTCATACAGAATCAAGAACAGCAATTTAATCTAGTACCAATTCACATGCTTGTACATAAACTAGATACTGCCAAAATAACTTGGTATCTTGATGTAACTATTTTGGCAGCTAAAGGTCAAAACACCAGTGTAACACGTGGCAATTTTAAGCAGAAATATGGGAATCAGAGGTTGTGTATCTGTGCAAAGGCAGGTCTAAGTCTATTCCTGATGCCTGCTGTTGATCTGCTGGACTGGGTTTGCAGAAGAGATCCAAAACAAGTTAAGGGGCCAGAAAACTTTCTTTTTGCAAAATAAATTAATTGTATTAAATGTAAGCAAGTTTAACTGGTGATTTTTAAATATACAAACTATTAATAACTGTGAAAGCAGCTAGTGCTCTCCATTCCTGTAATGTTTTAATCTGCCCTGGATGTCTTCCTAAGAGATACTTTAATCCAATTTACACGGGATTTAACTGCAGCTTGTGTTTATTTACAAGGAGACCAGAGTACCTGGTCACAATGATCCCTTCTAACTTAATTCTAGGGAGACAGTGCAATGTTTATGCTGAGATTAAAAATACTGAAGTGCTGCTCAAATAATGCAGCAACACGCATACAAAAATGTTTGTATCTTATCTTAGCCATTCACATACAACTACTTATATTTCAAAATTAAGGCCCTGGAGCTAAAACCTAACTTTGTCTGGTTTAATCCTGTTCTACGGGATGCCGATTTCCAATGGGCTCTTCTGCTAGCTGCCTCCAAGAGGCTGGCCCTGCAGATGCCATGAGGCTCATCAGTCTCTGATAAGTTTGTAGCAGTCTCTCTTTTCAGGCTACTACAAAAACCAGCTGTTCTGTATATTGAGAACTGAGTTTTTGAGAAACAAGCCATAGCCTAACTCTTTTAAACTGCTCACTGCTTCCATGCAGCAGAGAAAGTCTCAGACTGCTCATAATTCTTCTTAGCCGAGATTTTAAGATCTTCATAAAACAGGGAGGAATTTAGGCAATTTGATGAGAGCCTTCTACCTCATTACACTTGTTACAAGCACCATCAGGCAACAGCAAGTCATACCCACCAGAAACATACAGTGCTTATCCACGCTTAGGGGTGTAGTAAAACAACAGTACCAGCTCAGGGGCACCCCAGAGTTTTGTTCCAGACCCCTGCTGTGACACACCTACAGATTGCTCATTCATGTGCTATTAAAGGACTACAAGTTGCAACACGTACCTCCCATTTGCTTACATCTGATCCCAGATATCCACCAAGGGCTTTCTTCCCCCACTCACACTGAATAGGGTTGCAGATAGGAGCAAATGCCGACACAGACTGTTGAGAAAGAAAGCACGAAAAAAAGTATGAATTAAGAAGTGATTTCTGCTAACTAATAAGCAAAAATAAAAGCCTTTTCAAAAACTGAGGTTACTGCCAGAACCCAGGACTCCCCCACCAACCCTCTGAGGTGCCCTAACCATTATCCTACTTCCCTCTTATTTCTTCTTCCTAGCGCCACAGTTTTGCTTTCCTTTTTGCACATCAGCCAAGCTTCAAAAGGCAGGGCTAGATGCCCCATTCCTCTCCTTGTTGGAAGATGTTGGCTCGAATTCCTTTAATCAACAGAGAAGGATCTCAAGTCCACTGCTGGGTCAGCATGGTCAGAATGTGGGACCATTTCACCTCCAACTGGATTCTGGCAGAGCCAGTCTAAGCATGCAACAGTGTCTCATGAATTTAGGTACCTCCAGGATTAGGGGTCAAGAAAAGCACATTTCAGATCACAACTCCAGGTACTGATATCAGAAGTCCAATCCCTATTCTTATGTTCTTCTTTTCGATTTGGCCCTGGGACATCAATATTTCCACTTTTATGTCTTACAAAAAATAGCAACAAACCACCTGAGCCACTGCCAGTTCTCCTGGATTTTGGTATTTTCAATTTAACATTTAACTCTTTTAGATGATACAATTCACAGTTAAGTGCCAACAGCAAAAATGGAAATTTCTGAACTACTGGCTCCAAAAGATAAAAAGGAGAGATAAAAATAAAGCTTCATCTTACATTCTACTCTTAACACCAAGCTAATGACACTGAGCAAATGTTCTGCTATTTTCAAAAACACAGTTGCATTTTTGCAGCAGCTGACCACAAAGTGCAGGGTCAGGACAGCCCATGAAAGGACTGATCCACAAAGGCAGAGCCCCTCATCTCTCAAACACCAATGCCTGATTCTCCCCCAGAAATCCATTTTACATAAGCATGTCTCCAAAGAGAAGAACAAAATTTTTCTCAACCCTCACGAGTATAAAGGAAAGGCAAATCAGTAGCAGCATGTTTGATTTAGGCTCAAGCAGAATACAAATGAACACAACTCGAGATACCTTGAATACTGCAAAAAAAATCAATCTTTAGGAAAGCTGACAAGCAAATCTCAGGGGCTGGGGGGCAAGAGGTGGGGAATATCCCCCAGATACTATTCTGTGTGCAGTTCAGGTACTTACAGTTACACCTGCTATCAGCTGGGGTTTACTACCCTGTTGTAAATTCTAAGCAAACACACATATAAAGGTGGCAAAAAGGTTTGTTGGTAATGAAAGCTCCAAAACGAACAAGACAAGATTTGAAGAGATATAGCAAATCACACAACCAGATTTCTAGACAATATTGGCAGCATGAGTTAACTCCAGAGCTAGAAGGAGCCTGTTTACATTTAAGTGTAACTAACAATTCATTTGGAAGAGGTGTAGCATCATGCAAAAGAAACAGAACTTTTCTTAACTTTTAAAATTTGTAGATTTTTTTATTTCACTGATACTCACATTCCAGAGTGGTGTTTCTGGCAACTTCCCATATTCTAATACTAGGGATCAATGAGCTGCTACAACTAAAACTATTTATACATTTAATGCTATAACAGAACTTGGTTATTATGGTTTCTTTCTTCACTTCTATAGAAATCTGTATAAGCCTTAGTATACCTCATATAAGCTGTATAATATCTTACTTTGTACTTTCCAGGATTCTTCAGAGCAAGAATAAGAGCTCCATGACCTCCCATGGAATGCCCAAAAATAGACATCCGTTCAGGATCAGTTGGAAAATTGGCATTTATTAGTTTAGGCAGCTGTAAAGGAACAACAGTGGAATAAAAATGTTAAAGCAACTTGAGTATGTTTAGGAAAAAAAAGCACACAAATAACTAATGTGTTTTAATGCCAGGAAGCCACTGAAACCAAAGGCACATCTTTGGTTCTAGCCTGACATCTGTGATCATGGCCTGAAAGCAATCTGAACAGGACTGTAAAATCAAAAGGAAAGAATTAATCTGATAATAAGTAACTCAAAGTATCTCTACAGAAATCTATCATAACCCTGTAATGTAAGTTTTATTTCAATGGATACATAAATATGTATGTGCTCCTGTAAGTGACCAGAATGGCAAATTTTTCTCAGGAGATTATTTGCTCCCCATATTCCCATCAACTTTAGTTTTAATCCAGATCACACAAACTGCATGCAGAGTAAACTGGACACTCACCTTTCCAATACATATCTCAAGGATCTCCTTTTACACCAAGTTAAGGGAAAAAAAAACAAAACAAAAAACCCACCACACACCCCCCCACCCTCCCAAGACAGACGTGAATACAGTCTAAACGATCAATACAACTGAAGTACTGGTGCAGTGAAATGCAGTGGGTTGTTCCCAAAGCAGCAGAGCAGAGATTTAGCAAGAGCAAAATGGAGATCAGAAGTGTAGGCCAACTCTGTGGCATCTCCGGCAGGAAAGCAGCCTCAAGGAGTTCCTGCTCAAGCCCTGCCAGGTGTTATCATCTGTCTGCTGCAGTTCTCCCCCTCCTCAGTTCTACAACGATATCTGTTTGGTGAGGAAAGGCCTTACACCTGGATAAATCCAATCACTGAAATAATCAAAGATTAAAAAAGAAATAATAAATTATTTTCATAAAAGAGGAAAGCAAGAAAATGACAAACCATCCATAGGCTATCAAGATCACCTTAAGCAAGCTTTGGTGCTAGGAACAAAGCGCACGACTGAACCGCACCCCTTATCTTACCCAACACCACCAGGAGAACCAAGCAGCAAAGTTACCTCATCCTTTATGTAAGAATACATCCTATAGTTTGTTTTCCAAGGATCTTCAGTTGCATCCACATAAAAACCAGCACCGGTGCCAAAATCCCAGCTTTCATCTTCTCCTTCAATATTGCAGCCACCTACCATGAAAATTCTTTCTATAGTTACTGTCTTTCCTTTACTAGATGTTCAGAATTGGAGAACCTGCCATACAAATCAGAGACTCAGGACATGAGTTTCTCAACCAACATGTCTCTACCCCTCCAACTATACAACAATTCAGATTTTCATTCATTAGTACAGTGTTTTCAAGTGTTACTTCAACAATGCTTTCAAAATGCCACTTAAGTATTACCTACAGATGTATCCAGCTTCTAACTTGTTTCAGTATCCTTTCATAAATAAACATAATATACAGATCTCTCCTAAACTAATTCTGTAAAGCTTCATCCAATTTACCCAGGCACTTTTTAATTAGTGCTATCAGCTTATTTCTGTTATTAGACCTCATCCTGCTGCGTACAAGAAACTACATGAGAAACAGAAACTGTAGAAAAAAGGACAGAACCATATATCACCCAGTGGTGTGTCCAGACCAGTTTATGTGCTTCAAATAATGTCTGCTACACCTCCCTTTAAGATTCAACAGCATAATAACACTTACTGTTCCTATCATTTTTTAAGTATATAACTCTACCTTTTCTGCAATTCATTTCATTGCTCCCACCTTTAACTCCCCATAAAACTTAAGTAATTTCTTCTTTGAATAACTGCAGGGCTGTATCTTCTTTTCCAAGGCTACACTTCCAAACTAAATTTGCAGATGTCTCCTTGAAAGTCAATACATCCCATCCAGTCCTCTCTTACTCTCCCTTTGATTAGCCTGTGATTTACCAGCCTGGTTTGCAGAACAGAATGTAACATTTCAAGATATATGTGACAGGAAATAATGGCTTCCCTTTCTCCAAAGCATTCTTAGTTTCTGCAATCCAAAATTACATGGGCTTTCACCACTGTCAGATTACACCGCAAACCCATGTGTAATTTGACAGTCCTTGACAATTTGTGCAGAGATACCTGCCACCCTGTCACAGTGTGAAATCAGATTTTCACAAGGATCAAAGTTGAGTTTGCTCCAGTGACGTGCCCTTCAACACCGAGTGATTTTGTAACTTAACAGTCCAGCAGGCACAGGGACTGGGGGTGCTTACACAACATGTTGGATATAAAAATTCTATCTTCAGTCCCTCAGAGACAGACAAAAACTCTGTAAGTCCTGCCAGGCAGTGAAGGCAACACTGATTCTGCTACAAGAAACTTAAGGGAAGCCTTGAAAAAAGAAATTTGAAAAGGAGCCTGCAAAATACTGCTCAGCACACCTGTCTGGAAAAGCAAACCCCTATGAAGGAGGAAAAGTAAAGTCTATCACGGCCTGACAGAGGGCCTGTAATGACAGGTATCTCATGTTTTCATGCAGTCTTTCTCCCCATGCAGACACATGTCCTAGCTCCTGGAAGGTAATTCTCATAAATGCACAGTTGTCCTGGTTTGGGCTGGAATAAAGTTAATTTTCTTTCTAGTAGCTGGTATAGTGCTGTGTTTTGGATTTAGGATGAAAACAATGTTGATAACACACTGATGGTTTAGTTGTTGCTAAGCGGTGTTTATACTAAGTCAAGGACTTTACAGCTTTTCATACTGCCCTGCCAGCAGAGGCTGGGAGTACACAAGAAGCTGGGAGGGGACACAGCCAGGGCAGTGACCCAAACTGGTCAAAGGGGTATTCCATACCATGTGATGTCATGTCCAGTATGTTAACTGGGGGGGGGG